GAAAGACATTAAATAAGGTAAAAATGTTACTTAGTTCTGCTTTAACTTGCAGAGACCAGAGCAGCGTTTTACTGTGGTGGTACAGTAAACAACATCTAGCATGCTAAAACACACTTCCTGATTTTCAGACAAGTACACAGCAGACTTATTTTGACCTCAAGAATTGCTTATACAGTATATCTGCACTGGAGCAGTACACTGATTGTGTTCAAAATAGGAAGTGAGCATGGGTACACTTCTGGCTCCATCGAATCTGGCTCCAGTTCACTTTCTATTAAAAAAGCGTCACCCCTCTCTGTAACTGCTGCTGTTAGGTTCCTCATTTTTGTCTTAAAATGTTCCTGTTACTGATGTTTTTATTTCTCTGTTTTGTCAGTAAATGAATTCCTTTCCTAATATGGACCTTGGCTCCAAATTCAATTCCTATAAGCCTCTTAACCTTGATGAGCTTCATTTGACTGGAGCCAAGCGTTATGGGTAATGTCACACAGTCTATGGGCAAGACACATTTTGCTCGAACATATGTGGAAAAAAAAGAAACAGCCTCTATAACTCATCAACCGACATTCTCATTTCTGCAGCGTAAACACACTTGAACGAAACCAACCAAAACAAACACCGCAAATAACATCAAACCTTATTTATTTGAAAAAGTACATTTAGCAGAACACATCACTTTTGTTTTACTCAAAATTTCAAACTATCTCAACTCCAAAACCCATCTCCGTCTCGCTTAATGTCTTGTGAAATCCATCCATGCTTCGGTGAACTCAGTGACTGGGGCTTTGGAGCGCAGAGTTGATAAACGGGCCCTGCTTTAATACCCACGAAGGGAACACATACCACAGGCTCTCCCCCTCGCGTGGACCCTTCGGAGTGGTCAACCGCACTGAGAGCCAGAGCCGAGCATGCAGGCATCTGACCACAGAGCCTGGAGAGAGGAGGAGAAGAGAATGACTTATCAATATGACGAGTTTTGGATGCTGTTTTACATGGGTTTTAAAGGTCCTATATTACGCAAATTTGTCTCTTGTGAGATTCTAGGCATGTTAGAATGCTGCTGCGTCATCAAAAACATATCCAGAGTTGTTTTTTGTTTCATTCTCGCATGTTTGAGTCATCTCCAAAGCTCAAAATGCTGTGTTTCAGCTTGTGATGCCATGTAGTGGTAGTTTTCAAGTTAACAGCTACGTTTTGTCCTTTGTTCAGTAGAGATTGGCAATTCCAGGGCTGATATTATCTTTATGAAGAAAAGTATTTTCAGTTTGAGAGAAGAACTAAACTAAACTAAATATGCTGGTTGTATGTGTTAAACATGTGTGCATGAAACAAACACAATGCCAGGTCTGTTTATAATAACAGCGGTAAAAAAAAAAAAAAAAAGCGTAGCATAAAATGGACCCTTTAATGCCAGTTTTCAGTATTCTGTAACTACTGTATTTTTTGGACAATAAGTTGCACATTTTTCATAGTTTGGTTGTTTCCTGCAACTTATACTATGGTTCGACTTATATACAAATTTTCACAGCCGCAAGAGGGCACTCTAGGCTTGTGTGTCAGTATCTGCTGCTCCTGTTCCTCCTGTACCACTGTCACTTGACTCTACTGTGCATGTCTGCTGCAGAAAGAGCCTCTGTCCTGTCTGTATCATGTCAGTCGATCGCACCATTGCTTCTGTACCACTGAAAATGTTAAATTTAAACAAACTTATAAAGACAACTGCGAAGATAAACACAAATGTCCCCTAAAAGTAAATCATAGTTTGCAGATTACAAGCTGCAAGTAATACAGTAATCGAGCAGAAAGAAAGAAAGTTTGGAGTGAGCGAGAAATTTTTGACAACCGGAAGGGTGCATCATGGAACTTTCCTGGAAGTCACTGGATGGATTGACAAAGCTTTGACTTCAGTGACACCGAAACCATCCTGTCAGGATTCAGAAAGGCGAGAATAATTCTAGCTGAAACTGATGCTGAGCACTATAACTTTTTGGCTGGAGGTCCATCACCTGCTTGTTTCAATGGATATGTCATTGTTCTGCCTGGAATGTTTCATAGTATGACATGAAACAGCTCTACTCTACATTTGTTCAATTACAGATAGATTTATAGCTCAAAAATATCTAGGAAAACAGGCATTCTGACTGAGCAGGGTCGCCTCTCCACAGATCTGACCTGTAACTTGGTCTGGTTTGGTCTCCGTGAAGATAGAAAAAAGGTTTAATACCATACTGTGAAACATTCCAGACAACAGAATAACATCTCCATGGAAACAAGCATTGGACAGACCCTCCTTCAGAAAAGTTACACAGTGTAACAGTGGGCAGCTCCTGCACATTAAAATGAATGGTGTAATTTTCCCCATGGAGTTCAAACCTTCCATAGTGGGTGTTCTCTCTGATGTCAACTCTATCATCCATCTTGTTTCTGAAGTTTCTGTGGGCGCCACCATCGTCATTCAGGTTGAATTATTTTGCGTGGGGCCGATCTCACAGCAAATAAGTTCTTTACAGACTACAAAGCCACTCTAAAGCCTCCAGAGGATTGGTTCAGACCTCTGTTTATTTCATACCTTGACAATTTTGGCTGTGTGCTGCTCCTTCCTCTTCAGTGTCACGTGATGTTGTAGTGATATGTCTGCTCAGCTCATTTAAAGATGCACTGTGTACATTTTCTGGTGGAGGGTCAGTCAAATCCTTTTCTCTTTGGTAATGTTCTTGTTTTGTCTGGAATGTTTCACAGTGTGGGATTAAACCTTTCGATATTCATGGAGACCAAACCAGACCAAGTTACAGTCCAATGAGGTTCATTTGGTCTTCCGATAATTTATGTTATTAGATTCTTTTTGCTTTCATACCTGACAGTTTCACTCACTAGTGGTCTTCTTCAGAGTGGTCACGTGATGTTGTTGTGATGTGGGATACTGTCCTGAGGAAGTCGGACTGTAGATGGCGCTGTCATCATGCCTCTACCAGTAGGAAGACAGCGGCAAAACCTGTTTAAATCAGCTGAACGGACTTGTTACAGCAACATCACATGACCACTCTGAGGAAGGCCACTAGTGAGTGAAAACAAACTCTTGATCTGAAGAAAGAACCTAATAACATAGGACCAAGTTACAGGTCAGATTTTTGGAAAAACAACTCCGTTCACAGTCATATTGCCAGTTTTTCTAGATATTTCTTAGCTCTAAAACTATCAATCCATTTTCTTTCCGCTTATCTGGACCGGGTCACTGGGGTAGCAGTCTGAGCAGGGACTCCCAGACTTCCCTCACCCCAGACATGTCCTCCAGCTCCTCTGAGGGGACCCCGAGGCTCTAAAACTACTTTAATAAATCTAAGTTTGAGCTGTTTAATGTCATACTGTGGAACATGCCAAGCAGAACAATGACATATCCATAGAAACAAGCAGGTGACGGACCCCACAACCAAAAAGTTATAGTGCAGCTCATGACTTATAAATATGACAAGCTTTGGATGCTGTTCTACATGGGTTTTAAAGGTTCTATATTACACAAAATTGACTCTTGTGAGATTCGAGACGTGTTAGAATGCATTTGCGTCATCAAAAACATATCTGGAGTTGTGTTTTGTTCGCATTCTTGCATGTTTGAATCTTCTCCAAAGCTCAAAAAGTTCCACCAACAGCTACGTTTTGCCTTTTGTTCAGTAGAGATTGGCAATTCCAGGTCTGAAATGATCTCTATGATGAACAGTGTTTTCAGTTTGAGAGAAGAACTCAGCCAGAATCTTCAAAAACACAACTCCAGATCTGTTTGTGATGAGGAAACGGCATGGACAACAGTGAAATCGGCAGTCTAACTTCTTTATGATCTGTATGCCAGGTGTGACACAGCTGGAATGCCCCCTCATCCCGATTCAGTCTGGTTGGTGTGTTTCTGGATCTTGATAGCCTCCCTGATCCAACCTTGCTCCTATGACCTATGACCTTAGCACTGTCCCAGTCCACGAGATGGTTTTCCCTCTTGCAGTGGTCTGATATTGTTCTTGGTGGGCTTGTTGCTTAGTGACTCGGCTCATGTTTAGTTTTTTTTCCAAATTGTCCTATTTTATTTCATATTACCAGCAGGACTTTTCTCAAATTTTCCATTGAAAAATATGGGACTCCCACTTCACAGGAAGTGCCACCACAACGAAAACACTGTGGTAGCATTTAGAGCCAAAAGAGAACTACAATAAGTTAGTGGTGGAGCGGTTAGAGAGTTTTTCCACCAACTCGAAAGGTCAGCGGTTCGGTTTGATTCGATTCTCCAAGTATTGTTGTGTCCTCGGGCAAGACACATCAGTACCTTGCCTGTGTTTGAGTGTGGAGCATGACTAAAATGGGCGATAGTGGCTCAGGCGGTGAAGCATTCGTCTCATAACTAGCTGCTAGTTGCTTTGTTGCTTTGTTGTGCCTTTGAGCAAGTCTTTGTCTGGTTCATGGGGCAAGCAACTATTCCATATTTGCACGCTGCTTGATCCCAGTTGTATATTTTTGGCTGCAGAATGATCATAAACCCAGTCAGATCTGGGGCTCGGGTCGTCCCCGTGTTTGGACATGAACACGTCGCTAATTCCACCGCTCTGCCCATGCTAATGCTAACGTTAATGCTAATATGTCATGTTTGTGCCGCATAAATCTGCAAATCTCCTCTCCATATGGCACCAATAAAGAGATCTCATTACACACAGCTAATACAGGATTTGGTTTGTCCATTCGAAGCCTGAAATTCTGCTCAGATTACTCTCCAAAAATAGGTCAAACCATCATTTTTGTTGCATTATGATATTCTTACTAATATTGTGTTTGATTGTTAATATTTGGTCTTCGTCAAGATGTTAAGATGTTATTGCTCTGGCTGGAAGGTTCTGCTGTATGGCATTTTGCATTTATCCAATTAAAAGTGAAAACGAGTATGTAGCAAAGCCTCCAAACTCAGATGGACCTGTACGTTTATCATACTTACCCATAACCCTTTGTGTCCTGTGTGTGTGCAGGAGCCGAGTTACTGGGTGCAGGTTCATCGTCTGGAGCACGGAGACGGAGGCATCCTGGACCAGGACGACCTGCTGTCTGATGTGGTGGACGACAAGGACCGGGTGAGTGACGTGTGCACAGATGTGCCGTTCGCTGTACACAAATGTTACTTGTATCGATATGTGCTGTTCGGTGTATTGATAAGTGCTGTTTGCTGACTTGAGAGGGGAAGAGAGAGAGATAGAAAGGAGGAGAGACAAAGTGAGAGAGACACAGATAGAGGGAGAGAGACGGGGGGGGGAGAGTAACTTGAAGAGCTTGGACAACAGTTTAAAAGTTGTGGAGAGGAGTAGGGATGGGCACGATTAGTCGATTAATCGATAATTGATCATTAAGAATTTCATCGATTATGTTAAATTTTAATCGACAAACCGAATGCAGGTTGCTGTGCGTAGCGTGACCAAACAGGTCTGTACATGTTTCTCTGCACTCAGAAGGAGCGAGACACAAACAGTCGGTCAGTCTGCAACGTACCGAAGCACAAATACGTATTTAACGATGACTTGGTCGAGAAATTCCACGCTTTTCGTTGTGTTCGGGACAAGTGTGAGGCCATGTGCACAGTGTACATAGCAGCACATATGTTTCGGTGTCCAGTGGGAAAAAGTTTTGTCAGGTGAGAGTCGCGCAATGTCAATGACAAGTCCCCACCTCCCTCCCCCCGTACGGTGTCCTGGTTTTGACAAACGCAAATATGGTCGCACTAACCTGTATTCCACTGAGTCGTGTCTTTTAATCCGACAGAAGTTGACCGCATCAGCGACACAAGAGCTGTAGTTTTATCTTTGCTTAGTTTATGCAAATTAGCGATGCGGTTTTAAGTTTCGTTTCTGTGAGAGTTGCACAAAACTGAATTAAACACATTATAATCTCAAACGGATTGATGTGGCTCTAGAGTCGTTACGGTTTATATGTCGTAAAGTTGAATTTATTTATGCAGGTTAGTAGTGCAGATAGTAATAATAATGATGATAATTTTTGTATAAAAACGTTAATGATTAATCGATAATCGATTCGTTAATTCTTCCGATGATCGATTAAGAAAATTTCATCGAATGCCCATCCCTAGAGAGGAGTATAAAGCATTATTAATATAGTTTTCACAGCTCCTCATTAACGCTACAAGTACTTTCAGTAGTAGTAGTGGTAGTAGCAGTAGTCAGGGTGGGTTCGCTGTATTGATATGTGCTGTTCGCAGACTTGAGAAGGGAAAGAGAGAGGAGAGAGACAAAGTGAGAGAGACACAAATAGAGGGAGAGAGTGAGAGACTAGAGAGAGAAGAGAAACACAGAGAGAAAAAGAGACACAGAGGGGTTAGAGTAACACGAAGAGCATGGACAATTAAATACAGTTTAAAAATTTTGAGTAGTTACTTGGTTTTTGGAGTGTGAAGCATTATTATTATAGATTTCACAGCGCCTCATTAATGCGAGTAATACTTTTAGTAGTAGAAGTAGTAGTAGCAGTAGTCAGGGTGAGTTCGCTGTATCGATATATGCAATTTGTTGTATCGGTATATGCTGTTTGTTGTATCGATATATGCTATTTGTTGTATCGTTATATGCTGTTTGTTGTATCGGTATATGCTGTTTGTTGTATCGGTATATGCTGTTTGTTGTATCGGTATGTGCTGTTTGTTGTATCGATATGTGCTGTTTGTTGTATCGATATATGCTGTTTGTTGTATCGATATATGCTGTTTGTTGTATCGATATATGCTGTTTGTTGTATCGGTATATGCTGTTTGTTGTATCGGTATATGCTGTTTGTTGTATCGGTATATGCTGTTTGTTGTATCGGTATATGCTGTTTGTTGTATCGATATGTGCTGTTTGTTGTATCGATATATGCTGTTTGTTGTATCGGTATATGCTGTTTGTTGTATCTGTTTGTTGTATCGATATATGCTGTTTGTTGTATCTATATGCGTTTGTATGTATATGCTGTTTGTATCTATGTGCTTGTTTGTGTATCGATATGTGCTGTTTGTTGTATCGGTATATGCTGTTTGTTGTATCGATATGTGCTGTTCACCGTATCGATATGAGCTGTTCACTGACTTGAGAGGGGGGAGAGAGAGAGATAGAAAGAATGAGAGACAGACAGAGGGAGAAGGAGAAAGAGAGAGAGAGTATAGAGAGCCACAGATAGATGGAGAGAGGGAGAGAGAGACAGAGGGGGGAGAGTAACTCGAAGAGCTTGGACAATCAAATACAGTTTAACAAGTCGAGTAGTCTCTTGGTTTTCCGCGTGTAAAGCATTATTAATATTGTTTTCACAGATCCTCATTAAGTTTGATGTGTCTACCTTGGCAACGCTAATAGTAATTTCAGAAGTAGAAGTAGCAGTAGTCAGGGTGGGTTTGCTATATCGATATGTGCTGTTTGCTGCTGTGTATGTATAATCAGAGTGAATAGAGATGGTGGGACAAAGTGATACTCTAGACTGGCTGGATTGGAGATCTTTGGGTTGGATAAGATTTGAAGTGAGAGCAGTTTAGATGTTCTTGGAGATGAAGTCAGATGTGAGCAGATGGAGATGGTCTGTAGAGGCTGAGGAGTTTCTACTTGGTCTGTACTCAAAATACAAACTTCTTGGCAATACACTTAGACTTTACTGATCCATGACGGAAATTACTTGGACACAGTAGCTCACAGATCACTAGGGCTGGGTGTCATTCAGAAGTTGCAGATACGATACATACCTCGATACAGTGCAGTTTTGATTTGATACGATATATTTCAAATCGATTTGATACTGTTCAATAAAAAATAAAGTCTTAATCATGACTATGGCACTAAAAGTCTTTGTTAAAACACTTGAATATGAAACACACCCAGTTTAATCATCAAAACTGTGAAAATGTCAAATGTGTAGCATAAATAAGTTTCCTTCCACTGAACAAACAACGAAACTGTAGCTCTGTAATAAAATAATTTAGTAAAATATAACAAAAAATACCTTGGCAATATATCGATACAGCAGCCCACGATATCGATACTGTATTATCACATTAAATGATAAGATATATCTATTTCAATATTTTTGCACACCTCTACACATCACAATATATTACAATAACACAAAGTTTAAAAAAAATGTAATAAACTTTTAAATAAGTAGCAATAAAAATAGCAAGAGGTTGGTATGAGTAAATTCTATAAATGTACGTACAGTAAGTAAAAAACAAGTATCCTAATATACAGTATATCAGTTATATAAGAGGTCATAAGTGCAAGAGAGTAGCTCCTACACGTTTTCATATGAGATGCTGTACAGTGATACTTCTAAACTGCATACTTTCATTATAAATTACAGTATATTTATACACTAACTGATATGAAGGGCATTGTAGATCCAAAATTCTTTCTGTCACTCTTACAAAGATACATTTGGTAAACATTTAAGAGCTTTTCGTTGTATGTATCAGTATTGTATTATGAAGTACTTGGCGAAATCCTTTACTACAAAAATACTGTTCTCATTTTTAATTGTTACAAAACCCGAGCAGCAAAGCCTGATTTTAATTACTACCATCTGATCGGAGTTTCTCATTGAAATATGACGAGTGGGCCACAATCCTGCGTGAGTGAAGCCCCGCCCACCCGATACACTGTAAATAATTACCCACAATCCCCCTGCACTTCCTCATGAGACAGTCTGGGTCACCTGGGTTTGCTTTGTTTATTACTCATGTTATATACACTGTAGGCTTTACACTTCGTTTAAGAATACTATGTACCACAACTACCATTAATACTACAACTACTACTGCTATCACTTCTGCTGTTACTTTGCTTTTTGAACACAGATAAAAATGTCATTTATTATTTTGAAGTAACACTGTTGTATCATGTTACACGTCTGTATTTTCATGGTGTTTTCTCTCAGTGTTGTCAGTCAAGGAGCAGAGTGACAGTTACTGCAGGAACAGAGTCAAACTCAGGTCACGGAGGTACACGCCCAGAGCCCGAGTCTGCACACGGAGGAGGGGAAGAGAGGGAAAACAAGGAGAGCGGGAGATAGACAGATGACAGGGAGACAGGGAGAGACAGAGAGGGAGAAAGAGGCAGAGAAAGACAGATAGAGAGGGGAAAAGACAGAGAGAGGGAGAGAGAGACACACACAGAGAGGGAGGGGGTAGAGAGAGACACAGAGAGAGAGAAAGAGAGAAACAACACACTCATGGAGGCACACACAGAGAGAGACAGAAAGAGGGATGGGGGAGAGAGAGAGAGAAACACACAGAGAGAAAGACACAGTGAGAGAAACACACACAAAGAGAGAGAGAAAGAGAGACACACAGAAATACAGAGAAAGAGAGATGGAGAGAGAGAGAGACACACACAGAAAGAGAGACAGAGAGAGAGAAAGAGAGAAAAGTGAGAGAGAAAGACACACAGAAAGAGAGAAAACAGAGAGAGAGAGACACACACACACACAGACAGCGACAGAAAGAGGGGGAGGGGGAGAGAGAAACGCAGAGAGATACATACATAAAGAGAGAGAGAGAGACACATCGAAAGAGGGAGAGTGGGAGAGAGAGAATCACAGAGAGATACATACATAAAGAGAGAAAGAGACACACCGAAAGAGGGAGAGGGGGAGAGTGAGAAACACAGAGAGAGAGCGCTACACAAAGAGAGACACACACACGGAAAGAGGGAGAGGGGTGAGAGAGAAACAGAAAGAGATACATAAAGCGAGAAAGAACACAGAGAGAGGAGCGAGATAGAAGGAGAGAGAGAGAAAGAGGGGAGTGAGAAACTTGAAGAGCTTAGACAGTTGAACACAGATTAAAGGCGTTATAGTCACTTGGTTTTTATATAGCGTCATTAAAATAGTTCTCATAGCTCCTCCTGAAAAGTTTTATGGGTCTAACTTGTCAAAACTAGTAGTACTTTCAGTAGTAGAAGTAGTAGTAGCACTATTAAGGGTGGGTTTTTAAGTCAGATGCCCTTCCAGTTGCCTGTGTTGGACTCTTTCATATAGGTTCACTTACTGTCTGTCTGATAATGATGATGATGATGGTGATGATGATGGTGCGTGTTGTCATGGTTAC